CGATCAAAATTCGAACTCACTGATTGGTTATTTCCTTTTTAGGAGCTTGTATTACCGGCACAAATAAGTAAAGCCGTTAATGGAGTACTCCAAACAACGCCAGGGCGTAGGATCGATTTTACTGTTACATGATTTTCCGACGCATATCAGCCAATAAAAGATCAGGTGTAACGTAAAGAAATTCAAAACAAACGTTCGCTTTGCAAAAATCGCATTTATCTCGAAATTTAGTCTAGTAAACCATCCTTGGAGTCCTAATAAAAAATTTTCCTTATGCAATTTTGCTACATTATTTTTCTTCCTGACCTTTTCAGTTCAACAACGTTTGTTTTCCGAGTATCACGTGACAGTAAAATCGATCCTACTCCCTGTCAAATTGGAGTACTCCAGACTAACGCTAATAGCTGCTCGATACGTAAGTATCGAGGCAGTTTTTGTCTCGAATCATGTGCCGTCCGATCGAACATGTGACAGACCGGTTACGATCACATGTTCGATTGACTGATAGAACGTAAGTATGAGGTAATCAAGTAATTAGGATCATTGATGAAAGTATGATTAATTATGAGGGAATTGGATCGTAGTATATTTAGCAAGTAGGAAAATAATGGGAATTAACTTTGTCTTTTCTGCGAACCCGACTTTCGTTCTGGTTATATCGATCCCTCCCACCCTACCCGCGTTAGAGCGAAACATAATTTTTGTGGCTTGTCGGGACGGCAGTCATAAATAAGAGTATCCATTAGGATTGTATGCTGAAACGTTAATTGTGGCCTGTTGAGACGACAGTCACAAAATAATGAAAATTTATGGCCTTTCGGAACGACAAAAGAAAATGAAAAATGAGAAAGAAAGAGCACATTGCACGATTCTATAAACATCTGCATAGGTTGCTTGATAGCAGAAGGGAAATACCCGTATGTTTCTTCATCGTAATAGTTTATCCCAAAATGAGAGACAAAACGAATAATTATTAGCCGATTCGATAAGTTATTGATTTCGGCATGATCAATATAATGTTTATTATTTACGGAGATAGTCTAAATCCAGGTATGTGCGTACTGTAACTATTAATTCGGGAGAGAACTAACACTAAACCGATTATACTCTAATAGTTACTGAAAAGAAATGACGAAGATTGGGACTTAGAACAGGTAAGATAATAAAAGAGGTCAGAGATCAGGTAAATGTTCAGTGATGAAAGAGAGGATAACAGCTTCGAATCGTAAGATTTTACGTCACGTGAGCAAGACTATTTTAACGAGAGTTTATAACTGACGGAAAAGATTTTTGAATTTAAACGATAAAGGTCTCTTCAGCACTTCTTAGCTTACTTCCTTTATTTGTTAATAGGCAAACTCAAAGAAAATCTTCTCCTTTATTAAAGGTTAAGAGATAGTGTTTATATACATTTTAGTTACTATCTTACACATTAATGTGTTACTTAGCACGTTAGCATGCTATCTAGCACAATGATGTGCCAATAGTTCATAAATTCCCAAGCCCAACATGTCGATGTGTTGTTACAAACTTTCGGTGCCAATAAAATTTTTACCCCTTATTAACGCTTGTATGTGTTAACACATTAACGTGTTAAACAATTTATACAAAAATGGACGATCATATGCTATTGGATTAGTATTCAATGATACAAAACATCATGATAAGAGGTATCTTTGCAACCGATGTGATGTAAGTTGGTCATCAGAAAAAGCCCGAGACCATCATCAAGATCACTGTTTTAGAATCATTAGGGTAGATATAAGTTTTACCTGAATTTGCTTATCATTATACAAAAATAGAAATAAAAGATAATAATGGCCCTTTTTAAAGTACAACATCCCCGTTATGGTAGTTACTCAAACAGGCAAGTCACGGGACGTAAGTTTCTATTTTGGTAAGCCTGAAATAAAAATAGTTCCGGAAAAAATCATGTATTCAGATGTTCGGAATGTATCACTGGTAATACCCTACATTGTATTACTTACTATATTAATATGTTAATAACGCAACTACGAAAAAGTTCTGTAATTACATTCTTGAAATTTCTTTCTGGTTCGCAACATTATATAAACCAATGTTACTGTTATATTAGGAAGTGAAAAAAGTGTCAAGTTTAACTTCAACATTCTAATCGATTGAAGATAACAATAGCGTAGAACTAATTACTTTGCTGATAACTTGTGGATAAACTTTGCCGAAAACTTGTGGTATGCATCACATAATCATCCTTTGTAAATCTTAAAATGGTTACAAAATTTGTTTCTTGCATTCTAACAATTATATTGTTGTAGCAGCATTTATTATCCATGGCATAAGATAATTGTTATGTAAAGGAATTAATTAGATTACAAATCAATTTCAAGATCGTGAGTTTAAATTTATCAAAATAAAGAAAATGTAAGATCTTTGTCTTTATTTGACGTTTTTGAATTCATTTACCAATGTTGTGGCTAGTTAACCTACCAGCTAATTTAATTTTTAAGGGAAATAATTAGAAGGTAAATAACCGAGTGATATGCTTTGAGTAATATTATGACAAAAATATATGTAATACCTTTTCATGCATAGAGTATTTCTATTAATGGGAATTTTATTAACATATGTTCTTTAGCAAAAGGAAAAAGGTAATCCCACGAGTTATATATCTTTGTTTTTACAAATATTCACAGTATTAGTATCCAATTTTGAAACACTAGATGTATGCAAAGGTGCCATTTGGGAATCTCAAGAAAGTGTTATTCTAACAATGTTGGAAAAAGTTGAGCGGTTTATGAGCATCGTTGTCTTTTGCTACAATTTGTTGCAGAAAGAAAAAAAACAGAATGGACAAATAGAAGAGAAAAAGGAAAACAATGAAAATGAACAAAATTTTAGTCAGTTTTTTTTTTTTCCTATTAAGGACCATAAATTTATTATTTGGATTATTTACCAAAAGGAATAATACTATATGGGTGGCAAGAAATAAGGTGTGATGATTTGTTAGGTTTGGCATTTTTAATGTTTTTGAAATTTAAATTATATAATTGATTATTTATGTATGACTGTATTTGGTATATCATACAAGCGCGAAATAATGTCTATCAACGCGTTACGATACGCCTATGTATGTTAGACCAATAAATATAGACTATAAATGCTGAGACCCGATATATCTACCCAGCTAGCGCTATTCAAGCCAAATACAATCATTAGTTATATTAGGATACATGTTAATTTGAAACACCCATGAGTGCTAATTCGAGATTATATGTCATTTTTGAAGAACATTATTATTAATAATAGTAAAAAAAAAAAAAAAAATCTATAATAAACTTTTTACTTTATCATAATCATTACTGACCGGGGTAAAATCGCCACCCAAAAAAGTTTCAAACGTTATGCGACAAGTATATCGAGCACCAAAAATCCATGTAACTTGAAAAAAATACAAACAAAAATTTAGAGTAACAAAATAATAACGATAAGCAGTAAATTAATCATTTTATTTATTTCGAATAAATTCAGTAAACATAATATTTATTACAGCCAGAAAGTATTATGATTATGGTTTTTTTAAATATTTGGAAGATTCCATTGCCTTTTAAAATAATTATAATCCTCTTCCAATTTATGCAATGGCTCAAAGTTTTAATTGATATTATCGAGCCATTTGTTACTACAATAATTTTTTTTGTTGCGTCTCGGATTCAGATTTATAAAAATTTTTTGCTCAAATAAATAATCAAAGTTATAGTCTTCCGGAAGGAACATTAAAAATAAAATCCACAAGGTTTTCTGGTGTAATTGCATTTTCTCGACTATATCTTATAATTTATTTCGACTTTCATTCTTTTTTCGATTATTATTCGGACAATTTGGTTACGACAATATTGTGTTTATTGGATTTTATGCTTTTAAAGAATCACTTAGTTTGTCGAGATTGTAATGATCGCTTTTCATTTTGAAGAATCGAAGAAAAAAACATCACTCATTAAATCACTAATACTAAATATTATTATTATCATGATCTTAATCATGATCAATTGACATAACACATGATTTTCGAAACTTTTTTGGGTGGCGATTTTACCCGGTCATCATTACCTGAAGAATTTGATCTAGTTATCTTGATCATTAGTGTTATGCAAATGAGTTCAATTAAAATAATTGGTCTTACGATTATAATAGAATAATGCATATCGAAACTAGGATATCTAGCTGTATACGTATTTCAATTACATTAATTATTGGCATAATCAATTTTTCAGGGGCTGAGGGTGCTCTCAAGCATCTCTCTCAGTGTAATTAACTAGCTATAGAGATTGTGCAGAAGTACTACGATTAATTGAAGTAAACCTTACGGTAATTTTGCTGAAGATTCTGAAAACCGCGATAATATATTTAAATATTCATATTTTTGTAAAAATTTTTAAACCTTATCATAACGTATTCACGACATTAAATTCTCCAAGATGATTCCCGAATCTGTAAAAATAGCCCAAAAAAAACCAACGTTCAAAGTGAATAAACAACATAATGCATACCATCCTTACAAACTATTGCCAATTAATTCCGCGATTAATTTATACAAAAGTAACTCATCTGTTTCGAATATTGCTTGCAATTCTTCTGCTCCACCTTTCGTTGATTTTTCCGTTGTCAATTCTTCTGCTCTATCTACCGTTGATTCTTCTGCTTTACCTACCGTCGATTCTTCTGTTTTACTTACTGTTGAATCTTCTGCTCTACCAACCGTTGAACCTTCACCTCCTAAATCTTCATCTGCATCATCCTCTAATGTTATTACAAAACCTGGTTTAATGAGTGATACCGAAGATATTACTGATATTGAGAATATTAGTGATATCGAAAATATTGATGATAAGAAACTTTGGCCTAATTCTATTATAAAATCTCTGCTTGCATATCTTTCAGATCATATGAAAGATTACCAGTTTAGAAAAAACCAATTTTATGTTAAAGCAGCTCTCTACCTCAGTAAGGGAAAAATCGGATCCCAAGTTGCAACAAAAATTAGATGGTTAATTAATAAATACATGAAAGAAAGTGCTAATAAAATGGGCAAAGGCGCATCAAAATGGGAATTTTTTACAGAAATGAATGAAATATTCGGTAATCGCGAGAACGTGCACCCAGACTACCTAATCGATAGTACAGGAAAGGTAATTTGTATGATTATCGTTATTTGTTATCGTACATATGTACGTACGTACATACGTACGTATGTATATATACATACGGTGCAGGAAATTTAAAAATCTCAATCTTTATGTTAAGGTAATGCATAACTAGTAGCTAAGTGAAAGTAAATTTCTTAAATTATCAATCTTAATGCAATACGTGAAAATAATATACACTCAATTAAAGATAAACCGCTACTTAATTTATTTCCAATGTGCTGGTCGTTTTTGTTCTATATAATGTGATTGAGGTTTTTAGATTTCTTGTACCGTACGTACATATGTATGTAAATATTTCAATGTTTCTAGTTTTTTTTTTATCAATTCTATACTATATAATTTTTAATAGATTTCCAAAAACATCGATCAACCAGAAAAAGATCATTCATTGAAAAGAAAGAAACGCGGTAAGTTAAGTGAAGATGATGAAATCTACATTCAATCAA